GGAAAGGTTTTCTTTTATGTGTTGAGGAGGTTTTTGGAAAAATAGTGGAAATTGGATGGTTGTGTTTAGCAAGCAGCCTGAACAGTGGCAGGCTGGAGTTCAACAAGTGAAGATTGCATATGGAGGCAGTGAAAGGGGAGGGGGGTTGCAGGCCCTGTGGGCTTAGGCCTTGCAGTTTCCCTCTCACATAAGGACTCCTGTTGGAAGTCCACCTTGTCAGGCAGGTAGTAAATAGGTTCTTGGTTTTCTCTGGGTCAATTTGGTTTCTCTACCTGTTGAACATGCAATTGTTTGGTATGTGGGGTGTAAAAGGCAAAAGGAAAATTGTGCTGGAGGCCATGTGAGGTGATGTATTTGACAGGAATTCCTTGCTTCAAGGGGGAGCATGGAGCTTGGTGTGTGAGTGGGCTTTTTAGGAGTTTTGGATAAATAGTGGTTGAGTGTTTTGGTACAAAATGGGAAAATGTGTAAGAAATGAAACAAAGTTTCACATGGAAGCACAAAATGGAGGAGTTGGGAGGGGCCACAAAGGCCATCGAGTTCAAACCCCTAGTGTTGCAGGGCACCATGTTACACACTTTTCATTTGAGTAAAGAAAAGAAGGAAAAAGCAAATGAAAAAGAGGGGGTTGGTATACCTCATTCGCCGAAGAGCACTCCATTATTTAAGGGACAGCAACAGCAGCTTTTTCTGTATTAGGTCTGGTCAACTGAATTCAGGGAAATGTGTGCTGGAAATTATGGACTTATGACTCTGGGCTTGGCCATCCCCACACAGCCAAGAAAGGGGAATGCTCTGGCAGAAGGTACCACCATTACGTGAGTGCTGCAGCGGGAGCACTCACACAAGAGCCTCTGAGCATGTGCAGAGGTCAAAGTGCTTTGGGAAGTTGGGGCAGTGCTGCTTCCAACCATGAGTTGGGGGCAGGCTTGCACTGGTTCTCTGGATAGGACCTGAGGTGTCTAGAAAACTCTAAAAGAAAATATTGGGGTGTTTAAATCTTAAAGGGAGGGGAACAGTAAGGTAATGCAAATGAGGTGAGACACTGGGGGTTCTTTGAATGTTCAAAGCCTGTATTGCCTCAGGAACAATTCTGCATGGGAAAGGGATTGGGTTGAAACAAAGGATCCATGGGCCAACATACCAAAGCAGAGAGGAAGTGTTTTGACCTAAGCCAACAAAACAAGTAATGACTGAGGGGCAGCCTGAACATCACCCCCACCCCAAGGTCAGCCACATAATTATTCTAACCTGCCTTGGCTCTCCAGCATCAGTCCACTTTGAAGCTGCCTAAAAGAACTAATATGATACTATATCCAAAAACGTACTTAGTTGCTGAGAGTTGGTTACATTTCCATCCCTTCCACAAAAAGCTGTCTAATAGGCATGACTTGTTTATTCTTACACCAATTCGATCCAAACAAAACCATCAGCATGCCTACATTACACCTTTTCTTTTCAGGTATGCAACAAAGGCACACGCCAGATTGATTTGTCTTAAAATCAGTACATACACAAAGCCATTAATTCTCTTCCAACAAAAGATCTGTCTGGTCTGAATTTAACAGGCTGGGTTGTGCAGAAACTGTCTCACTGTAACTTTCCATGCAACCACTTCTCAGAAGCGCAGACCCAAGAACTTCCTCTTTCTTTAGCTTGGGGAAGCGGGGGGGGGGGATGGGTGACAGTGAGATAATATTTAGTAACAAACCTGCATTATTGCTGCAGTCAGTGCTGTAGGTTTTCTGGTTGTGACATTTGTTAATTACATGCAACTTTTCCTGTTCTGTATTTGCCAGACAGCTACAAAACATTAGGTCAAAAGAAAGGCAGGATCCCAAATCCCTTTGCAGTTTTCCGTAGCTGTCTCCCACAGACAAACGTCTACCTGGGCAATAAAAAGCTGTAACTAAACAGCCTTGCCACCACATAACAATACTTGGAACAAGCTCTATCTACATTGAAGCACATTTGAGTCCCACTGATTTCACTTGAGAGAGATTTGAGCAAGTACTTTACTTGAGCTCAGGAACAGGCAAAGCATAACCCTCCAGATGTTGTGGGTCTGCAACTCCCATCATCCTTCTCTCCCGACTATGCTGGCTGGGGCTGATAAGATTTGTACTCTACTTGACTTTGGCTGGAATACATTATTAATGATCATGTAGTACATTTCCTAGGTATTCTCCGGGCACTTCACATACATATCTTGGGTTATTCTTATAATGCCTTTGTAAGCAGGTTAACAATTTAAATTTCCATATGGCAGGTATGGAGCCAGGCTCCATGAGGTCATGGTCTGAGTTAAAATCTGAACTAGTGATTTACTGGCTGGCTCATTCTTTCATCCACTCTTCTCTGCTGTACATTTGCTTGTGGCTGAAAATTTCACTGGAGCAAGATGTTTCAAATATCTGCATCATTGTCCTTCAAACAACAAGAACGGCAACTTTACCTCTACTCAGGAATTCAAAGGCAATGTAACTGACCAGGATTAAAGAGGAATGCCCTGGGGAAATGGCAAGCATTACATTTTGAGTGGCCATTCCTGGAACCTTTAGTAATGTTACTTACACAAACCTCTGGAGCAGTTCCCTCTAGTTTTGCTGAGATCTGGCTAGGAAGACAAAGGGAAGGACAAGAGAAATAAGCACAGCCTCCTCTCCTCCAGTTTGTTCCCCCACCCCAACTAGGTTTTGTGTTAATGTTCTGCCAGATGACATTTCAGCAAAACTCTTGAGAAAGGCCTGAAATTTTGGGGGCAATTCTTCAACCTTGCAAGGCCAGGAGATAAACCAATTTCTAAAAGATATATGAATTCCATGACAACATCCTCTCAAACAAACAAGCAAAACCTACAACAATCTTTGAAAAAATGTCCTAATTAGTACCCTCCTAAAAATCATGATCACTGAGGATAAGTAAGAAAGTCATGATACAGGCACCCACTAATTTCATTCACCCTACATGGGGTAAGCCTTGCTGAACACAATGGGATTTACTTCTGAGTAGATACATATAGATGGTGCTGTAAGATAGCTTACAAGGAAGCCCCCAATCCAAATCTCTGCTCAACCTCATTAGAAGGCTTTAAGGTGACAAGCCAATATTCCCTCAGTCTCTCTCCAAAATATCCAAAAAGGAGGCAATACCACAGGCCTACCTTGCAGGACTGCTTGCAAGAATTATTGAGATAATATATATATGGAGTGCTCTGAACACTCAAAAATGCTGAATAAAAGTTTTAAACAATAATTTCTGTGATGCACTTGTATAGCAAGTAAAATAAAAAGTTCACAGAGTTATGAACCAACAAGGATTGACAAAAGGATTTAGAGCAAACACCTGAATGCTTATAAAACAACACCACCCTCCTGCTCCTTAAAAAGCCACACATGGTAGACTTGGCTTTGAATTGCAAAAAAAAAAAAAAAACCAACCCAGGCAGCTTCTTTTCTTTACAGTAGAACAACCTCACCAAGTGTAATGTACAGTATCTGCCTTAGGCATGCTGGCTATGTCAACAGATTATCTCGCATCGAACTGTCTAGACTGTTATGAATATGCAACTGATTCAACAGCCAGGACACTGTTGGAAGCGAACTGAAAGAACTGTTAAGTGGAGAATTATTCGCCTCTCCAACTGAATCAGCTGCTCAAAAGAGAAACATAAAGAAAACCAGATGTGACTCATCACTGAGTATGCCTAACAAGCAAGCAAACCCAAAAGGCTCTTCTTCCGTTAAGAAGAATGTGGACTTGAACTGCTCGCTTGCCTACAAAATATCTGCACCAAGTACTTTGCCAGAGACCCTTTTCCAAAAAGAAAGATGGTGTGCGCGCATGGGAGTTTTTAATGTTAAGCCACCGTGTGCAAATACTTAACAATGTCCACGGCAGCGAAGTCTGGCCATACGTATGTCTACAGATATACACGCGTCTCCCAGGCACAATGTAGATTTAAGCCTGTCGATAAACATTCGGATGACTGGAAGATAAAATCCAGCGGCTCATTATCTCGTTCACTACTGACACCGGGGGTGGGGGGTAAGTTGCATTAGAAGCCACATGCTTCTTCATGAACACCAGTCTAGTTAACTATACAGGCTAGGCTTCTCTGCTCCCCACCCGGGCAAAGATAGTAGCTTACAGAATGCAAAAGAATCCTATTAGACATGTTATCAAGCCTAGCAATCCAAATCATAGCTCCGGCTCTGGAACGAGGAGCCCCTTAGAAAGGGGCTGTCCTCTCCAGCCACATCTCACTAGCCCAGCTGATGGTTTGATTTGCAATCGTTCTCTTCACAAGTCTTTGTTTTTAGGCTAATCACAGATTTCTCCCTAGACTCCCATCTCTCCTGCCTACCAGTTTAATTTAACCTCATTACCCAATTTCCCTCTTAGAAAGCATTTCTTAACCACTCCAGGGTCTAAACTCTCTACTGGGTGCACAGAAACAAGCTTAGACTGTCATTATTCTAAGCTAATATTAACAATTCAAGTTTCACTTTTGAAGGGATATTTTTAAAAGTAGAAACTAATGCACAGACAAAATTTTTATTGCAATAAGTTACAGGCTTCTGCAATCAAGTCACTCTTTATAAAGCAAGTGGTTTACAATGACACACCAGTTATCGTGAAAATCAGAACAATCTATTCCATTTTTACCAGTTGTCAGTTGGTTGAAAGCAATTACTCTTGTTTAAAAAGAGGGGCCACATCCTTTCTTTCAGAATAACCCACAATTTAATACGAAAAGAACGCAAAAAGAACTTCCACCAGACCCCAGATACACCCTGATTTAAGATTATATTCTTTAGAATTAAATGCAAGCAGCTGTGAATTGGACTGCTTTGTTAATGATACCATTTATGATAGCGTTGCTTATTTTAAGGGGCGGAATCAAGAGGAAAGAAAATGAGAAATAAAAGCAGAAAGGCCACTCCAATGCATCAGTGTCTGCATTTAACAGATTTACAGGAGTAATGTAAATGGTTCACCTGCTGCCAGTTCTCTTCCAAGGATGGCAAAGCTGAGAAGTACCCGGTATCGTGGACAAGTTGCAATTCCTGGAATATACTGTAACTAGCCAGCACATCCATGTTGCTGCTGCTGCTGCTGCTGCTGAGCAAAAAAACAACAAACCCCGACCTTTTTCTTTTAGATTTGTGTTTGCAATTTCGTGATGGGGCTTTAGTTCTGTTCATTAAAAATGAGGGGAAAAAAGACCCTTACGAGCAATCAATCCAGATATCCTTTTCCTCTGGCTTTTTGCTTTTGTTTGCGATATGTATCTATATAAATATATGTAGATACTTGCAGTCACACTTTCAAAGAGAGGGGGGGAATCAAGGCAGAAGCACGAGTGGAGAAAAAAAGGAGAAAAAAGGAAAAGAGCCCCATCGACAACCCAATGAGAAGGGACAGATGCACCCAAACGTGTACAGTGCAAGCCGACAGCCAAGCAATCAAAGAGGGGGGACTTCTCCACTTGTAGTAAAAAGCTATTGCCTTCCAGGGCTCTGTTGCTGACTCCAGCTCTTGGACCAGGGAAGGGGAGGGGGGAATGCAAACTCACTGACACGAGACTGCCATCTATTTCTGCATTGCTGCTCGCTGCTGAATGCAATCTTTGCGCTTTATTTTTGGGAGGTTGCATTTTCTGTCCGGCGCGTGCTCCCAGCCCGCGCGCTCATTTTTTCCTCCCTCCGTCCCCCTCCCCTACGCCAATAGTCCTAGTCCCTCCCCTTTCCAGTCTCTTCTCCTTTCTCCGCGCAGTCGTGGGATCTTCAGAGGAAACTGTCCATTAAGGCAGCGCGTGACCATGTAAGGTAAACAGGGGGCGGGCAGAAAGGGCCACTCATGAAGTCACTGAGACCCAATCCACGCCTGGGGAGCGGGGAGAGGGCGGGGCGAAGAGCGGAAGAGCCTGGACGATTGGGCGAGGGCTCGGTCTGATTGCTGCCTTATAAGGCAGTATAAGGAAAGCTATTTTTAGAGAGCTATATAAGGGGGCTGGGCTGATTGCTGCGCGCAAGGCTTCGGAGAGGGAGTTAGCGGCAGGCGCAGCTTGCATGATCGTGGCGCGGTTGGGGGCGTGCGGCGTTCAGGCTCCGGTGCATGCAAATATCGAAGGCACATCGGAGCGGCGTTGTGTGGGAGCGATCGCGAAGAGCCGCGGCAGCGAGACTGTATTTGGAGATAGATGAAAGTGGCGACTTGTGGTTGCAGTGGACGAGAGCGAGATGGAGGAAGACGCTTACTCTCGGCCCCGCATTCGTCTCCGCTCGCTTATTTCAGAGCCGAGGCTCTTTCCCCTTGTGAAACCTGCACATTTCCGCACGTAGGGGACAGGAAGGTTGCCTGTTCATCCACGCATGTTTGAGGCTGCTTAGTGAAAACTAAACTCCGGCACGCCAGCTAACCCGTTCGCATTGCTGGGAGCCTCCCTTTGCTACAAAATACACGAACTAAGAGCAAAGTGGAGGGAGAAGGAAGGGGGGATAAACAATGTCAGATGCCAATGCTGCTGCGCTGTATACTTTTACTTGCGAGTAAGCCCCTCCAACTCAGTGGGATCTACCTCAGCGCAAGGACGCTCAGGATCCAGGCCCTGCTGGCGGCTGGTCGCATGCGTTGTGCTTGCAGCGCCCGGAAAAGCTTCTCTGAATATGGGCGCCCCCAGTTGGGAAGCCTTGTCCGCAGCGCGCTCACGGGAGGGAGAGGGCGGCGAGCGCTGGGCCTCGGTAGCTGTCTTCGTTAAGGTTCTGTGGTGCTCTGGCGAAAAATACGGGGTTGTGCAGCGAGGGGGAAGGGAGGGAAAGCTGAGGATAATAAACCTGTTGTGGGAGCACACGGTCAATGAAAAAGGCCTTAATTTATCAGAAAGCAACCGCAGCCTAATGCCAGCATCTATCTGCACTCACATAATCAGAAACCTGCAAGGCGTTTGCAGTAAACATGCTAACATGCTGGGTTGAGGAGTTTTTCCATAAATGGCTAGCATGGGCCCCGTCTCCTTCCACAAACTTCTCTTGGGGGTGGGGAGAGAAGGGGGATGCGTTTGAAATGAAGGCAGGGCTCCTTTTGCGCCGTGCAGTAGGGTTGCTTCGTTCCTGCAGTGAGAGAAACACGTGCATTTTTTCCTTTCTGTTCGTTTTTAAAAGATGCAAATTAACTATTCAGTGCAGACTCTGGCGTGGAAAAAGGAGAATTGGGAATTGCCAGAGCTGCCCCAAGCTGGCCAATCATCTGGTGTTCTAGCAGTTGCATTGCCACATTATTGTTACTAAATGTTTCTATTGTGAACAGCAGCCCAGCCAAAAGAAATGTACAGCAGTGAAAATAAAGTTGTATGCTATTCCTAACAATGAAGCGTTTTGCTGTGATGATGGCCCTTGTCCTCAGATCTGGCTGAGTGGGTTTCTCTGGATGGGCAGGGAGAAGGCTGCAAGTAGGCAAGAAGTGGGGTACTGCTTGGTTCTTCCAGGGCAACTGGGAAAAAGTACACTTGCTGGTAAAGAAATTCCATTAAGCTGGAATGCAAAATTAGATGATGTTTGAACGTTGTGTATGCCAGCAAGCAGGGCAATCCAGGAGCTTCCTTCAGTGTCCTGAATACTGCCCTGGAATGTAGGATAGTTCAAGCAATACCATAGCCTGACTGAAATGTCATTCAGATGTGTAATTAAAAAATCAGTGTGTTACTAAGTAGAATAGATACAATTTCTTGGCCAAAGAAGAGCTCACAGGTGAGCATTTTCTTTTGTTTTTAGGTAGAATAACTGAGTGGTTACTCAGAATCAAAGCGTGAACTAAGCCCTCACTCCTCAGTTCTAACCAGGAGCATCTCTTGGCTGCTCTGCTCTTCAGTCCCTCCCTCACCGCCTCCTCCCACCCCTGCTTTCCACCCCTGTCCTTCCCTTTCATCTGTTACATACCTGTCCAAATTGTCCTCCAGTCCACCTAAATGACATATCGTTCCTTTGCCCTTCTGGCCCCTTGCCTCCCACATGCTTCTAGTGTCCATGACAGCAGAGTAGCTGAGCGAAGGGCAGCCTTGCTCACTAATCAGTGGCCTCAAGGCAAGAGACTTCACGCCCACCACCGAATCCTCTGGTGTATGTGCTGGGGAATTAGCCTGTGGGTGGGCTAGTGCTGCGTGGCTCTGGCCTCCAGTATTAGCGGGAGGGTGCCCTGGAGTGCCAGTTGCTGAGGAGCTGGGCAGGAGGGTGTGGTGGGCTCCTATTGCATGTACAGATTGCTGGACTGGATAGGACTTTGATCTCATCCTGTGTGGCTTTTTATGGGTTTTACAAAATAGGGCGTCATAATGCTGCAATTTTTTATATGCTTAACTTACTAAAATTAGGATGCTTGAAAGAACCCAACAGGAATGTTATTTAATCCCCATAGAGAGCTAGGCATCTTGCAATATTATTGCGAAGTATTCTTAATAGCAGTGATATCTAAACAGGGGTATTTCTTGTCTCTATTATCACCACTGCATGACCACAAAGCTCACTGGCCACTTCCCATCACTGCCACCAAAATTCCTCTGCTGCTCTAGGCATGGAAGGCCCCCTATGATAGCAGTATGTTCAGAACTGGTATACTTTTGGATACAGATACTGGGGACAAACAGTGGGGCAAACTTAGACTGTTCCAGTGGGGAGGAGAGAACCAGAATGTACAGCGGTTAGAGTGTGGGACTGAACCAGGGAAAGCTGGGTTGTAGTCCCCATTCAGTCATGAAGCGCATGGGCCAGCCATTGCCTTTTAGCATAACCTGCCTTAGGTTGTAGGGATGCAGGTGGTGCAGTGGTTTAAACTGCTGTACTGCTGGGCTGGTTGATTGAAAGGTTGCCGGTTCAAATCTACACAACAGGGTGAGTTCCTGTTGCTCTGTCTTAGCTCCTGCCAACCTTGCAGTTTAAAAGCATGCAAATGCAAGTAGATAAAAAGGTACCACTTTGGTGGGAAGGTAGCAGTATTCTGTACACTTCAGTGTTTAGTCATGCTGGCCACATGCCCATGGAAATTGTCTGTGAACAAACGCTGGCTCCCTCGGCTAGGAAACGGAGATGAGCACTGCCCCCTAGAGTCAGACATGACTGGACTTAACATCAAGGGGAAACCTTTACTTTTACCTTAGGTTGTAGCGATGTTAAAATGGAAAGGAAGAGGAGAACCCTGTAAGCCACCTCTAATTCCTTGCAAGAGGAAAAAGAATTGGATGTAAGTATGGAAGTAATTAAATGAGGCTTTTCTTGTCAACAGTGCCATTAAGGTAAGGACTTGTGCAGAAAAGCTCATATATAATTCCTGAGTCATTCATGCCATATGATACAAGCAAGACTGGGGGCAGGATCATGGTCACTAGAAGATCAGTTAGAACCCAAGTATGCAAGCAAAAACAATCATTTTAATCTCCTCAAGTAGAAATGTTAATACAATGAAGGAGAAGGGAAGGAAGGTTGGCCAGCTCCTAATGCTGCTCTGTTGCTGATGCTATGCAGTTATAGACTTCACTGGCAACCTGGATAGTTAGCTATTCATAAATAGATGTATAACAAACTTAAGCGCTATGAGGGGATAAAGCCACTTGTATTTTCTCTACAGAACACATCAATAATTACAGAACTGAAAAACAGTTTGCATAAAATAGCCAATTTTAGCAGATGTAAAGCAGAGCATTAATATCTTAATTTCTAATTATGAAAACTTATGCTTAGTTTGCTTAGGAGCCTTTGGTGAGGGACTTTGTTTATTTGGATTTTTAAACTTTTGACAATGTCTTCTGGATTGCCCCTGTATTATTGACACACTCAATGAACTCCAATAGGTTAGTGAGACAAGACTTCCCCTTGCAGAAGCCTTGCTGACTTTTCTCATCAGGGCTTGTCCCTGTATGTGCTTGCTGATTCTGTCTTTAATTCTGCTTTCAAACAGTTTACCCAGAGGAGATGTTAAGCTAACTGGCCTGTAATTTCCCAGATCATCCCAGATCCCTTTTTAAAAACTAGTGTTACATGGGCTATTCTCCAACAGTATATGGGCTGTTTTTAGGAACTTAGTAAATATTTTGGGGAAAGATCAGCAATTTCATGTTTTAGTTCTTTGAGAACTCTCAGATAGATATCATCACTACCAGGTAGTCTGCTGACTTTTAGTTTGACAATAAGGCTGAGAACTTCTCTTGTCATTACTATCTGCTGTAATACCTCAGACCCCTTCCAGCATATGTAAGCTCTGGGACATGGATCAGCTCTGCATCCTTTGCTGTGAGGACTGATGAAAAAAAGCAGCTTCTGTGTAATCTCATTCCCCTTTAGTACTCCTTTAATTTCATTATTGTCCAATGGTGTAACTGTTTCTCTAGCTGTTTTCTTTCTCTTGATATATTTAAATTAATATTTATTGTTGACCTTGATGATGTTAGTGATAAGCGCCTCAAACTGTTTCCTTGCTTCTCTGATTGTCTGCTTGCATCTCCCTTGTGCAATCTTATGGTCCTTTCTGTTCTTTTCATTTGGGCCAAGACCTCCATTTCTTGAAGGAAGCTTTCTTCTCTCTCAACTCTACTTGTTAGTCATGCTGGTGATTTTCTGGACTTTGTGCTGCATTCCTTCACTTGTGGTAAGCATATTATCTGTGCCTCTACTTCAGTGTTTTTGTGTAATCTC